CGGGAAGAGGCACCGGGTGGGCAGGATGGAGCTGAGTGCAGCCCGGGCGCCCTCGTCGAGGAGGAGGTGACAGGGGAGCGAAGGGTGCAGGGAAGTGGGGCGGGGGGACACGGGGATCACCAGGAGGCAGCGGGGGTGTTCTGAGTGGTGGGAGGACACGGTAGCGGGATGGAGTGGGATGACGCCTCCAACCTGGCGCTGCTGGAGATCCCCTGTCTCTTGGTCCCTGGCAGGTTGTGGAGCTGCTCAGGGGCGTGCAGAGAGGCTCGGGGGACAGGAAGATGTCGCTGTGCCGCCTCCGCTGGGCTCTGCAGAACAAGGAGACGCAGCAGAAGTTTGTCAGGTCGGCCTGGGTGGCTGCTGGCTGGAGCAGCGCTACCGAGGCTGTGCCCAGGGTGCTCTCCGAGCCCCGCTCTTCTCACAGATGCGGTGGCAGGTGGTTGAGGCCGGGAAGGCAGGAGGTGATGGCACGGTTTGGGTTCCTGCAGGCTGGATGGCAGCGTGCGGGTGCTCACGGGGCTGTTCACCAGCAGCCTGGCCGACGTGCAGCTGGAGGCAGCTCGCTGCCTCCACGAGCTCTCCCACTCCAGCGACCCTGCTGTGGCTGAGGCTTGTCTGCCCGTCACCCCGTATCTCCTTACCTACCTCTCAGGACACAGCATTGAGTTCATGGTAAGATCCAGGCCCACGTTTGCCAGGGCTCTCGCTCCTCATGCTCCTTGGGTAGCCATTGGGTTTCCCTAGGCCCTGTTTTGGCCTGCTGCTCCGGCAGCCTCCACCTCTGCTGGCCTGGAGGCTCCAGACTGGGTTTCCCCAGTGCTGAGCAGAGGGGATAACCCCATTTCTCACTCTGCTGGCCACACTCCTGGTGTGCTTCATGAGAGGGGAGCGGGGGTGGTGGCACTTGGACTCTATCAAGTCCTTGGGCTTCGTGTCTGTGCACCAAGAACCAGGTGATGCAGGTTGCTTCAGATGTTTAAAGGACCTTGGAGTTAGCTTTCCAAGAGCTGCTGAAGGATATGAGCAGTTGCAGCCCGCAATGAGAGAACAAACACTGTGTTGGCCGCCCTGTCAGGAGAGAAAAAAAAAAAAAAAAACACCAGACAACTTTCATCCAGGTGGGAAAGAGCAGGGTGCTTGTGTCTCTGACCCGTGGAGCTTGATCCACGAAGGTGTGAAAGGTTGGACCAGCTTTGGGACTAGCTGGACTAGCTGGGTGTTGGCCAGGTGGGTTACCCAGTGCCTGCCAAAGACAGGGATATGGGATGGGAGTAAGAGAATTCCCATCCTGAAATGGGAATGATCGGATGTTCCGCTAGTCCCAGCCTAAGCTGGAGAACGAGGATAAGCTGAAGGCAGTCTAGCTGGGAACGTGGGAAGCTGGGAGAGTCCTCTCCCTCTGCAGCCAGATCCTGTTCTGGGCAAACATGGCCCAGGGGGCGGGTGCTGAGGCTCGGGAGCGGTGACCTGTGTTTCAGGAGCTGTGTTTGTACACGCTGGGGAACCTGGTGGTAGAAAGTGAGGCCGTGAGGAAACAGCTTCTGCCCCAGGGCATTATTCCAGCACTGGCATCCTGCATCCAGGTGGGTGAAATAGCTCTGCCAAGGCTCTTCCCATGCTGTATTCCAAAGGAGGCATCCCCTTGTGCCCCGTAGACACTGCCTGACGTTACCACGCTGCGTGTGGAGACCGCTCGGAGCAGGGCTGCCTCTTCCCAGGCGATGGGGGGCTCGCGTGGGCCTGCCAGGATGCCACGTTAGGGACTTGGAGCCGCCTTGCCCTCGGTTCCAGCTGACTCTCTCGCACATGTAACTGCCGTGCGGATGAGCTGTCCCCTGTACAATGACCTGTGTTGGAGAGGCTTCTCCCCACTGCATGGGCCAGCGCAGAGCAGGCAGAGCTGCCGCCTGCAGATGTGAGTGTGCAGAGCAGCGCGGCTGTTTTGGCCTCTTCGTGCAGGGCCTGGGCTGGCTCCGTCGCTGCCAGCCCCCAGTGTTGCCCCTTCTTCCCTGACTGTGCCCCTTAGCTGCTGGCATCACGTAGGGGTATTGCCCTTGCCCCCCGTGCTGCCCGGCGCCCTGTGTTCCCCCGGATCTGTTTTGTGGCATTAGCTTCATTCTCTTTAATTGCAGTCCCCGCACGAGGCGGTGCTTGAAGGCCTTGGCTACGTCCTGTCGCAGCTGCTCCAAGCCAAGGAAGCCCCCACGGAGATTGTACCGTGAGTCTGAGCCCCTTCCCGCCCGGCAGGATGGGCCCTGGGGCCCAGCGTGGCATTTGCACGCAGTGCTGCACCTCCCATCCTGGTGATACTAATAGTTCAGAGCAGAAGCCTACCAGAAATATGGAGATTTGATGCAGATGAAGGTGTGGGGCTTGGCTCTCTCCCTTCAGCCTCATCCAAGCAGACAGCCTTGATATTTCAGTAAAGGCCAGCGATGAGCCCACAGGGCTAATCGGGGGACTCTGGCCACGTGCTTCCTGCCAGGAGAAAGATCAGCATGACAGTGCCCAGCGCCGGAGACATGTCCCCAGCCAAGGTGTCCTTGAGGCGCTGCCGTGGATGGGGATGTTAGTGCCAGGCTTGGTATTTGCTGTGACAGGCATGACCGAGCAGTCTGGATTCGTTAATCGAGGGGCTATCAGCAGGCAGCGGGTGTTTGGGGAGCACTGCCTTCCAGCGCACCTCAGTGCGCCCCTGTTGGAGCGTGTGTCTCACCCAAGGGAGAGCAACTCCCCGCCTGCCAGCGGGGCTGATCTCTGCCTGTCCTCTATCTGTCCTGCCTGTGCTGCAGCCGTGGCTCCGCTAACTCTGCCCTCTGCCCCCAGCTTGGTGCTGGATGCAGGTCTCCCCCAGCACATGCTCCGCCTGGTCTGCGCCGGCCTCACATCTGGCATTGGAGCCGCAGTGGAGTTCGCCTGGGGTCTCCACTACATCATTTGTGGGTAAAAATGCTTTTCAGCTTATTTCAACCCCCCTGGGGCAGCTGAAAACGGAAATGCAAAAGCTCTGCTGGCTGGAGCGCAGGCCTGTGCATCTCAGTGTACATTTGCTGTTTGCAGGATGGCCGAGTTTGTTTCAGGTTTAGGCTGTTGACGGGAACGCAAGGCTGCTCCTCATCCTCTGAAAACCCCTTCCTGCCTCCCCGGGTCTGGCCCTGTCCTCCCCAAGCTCCCTGAATGCTCAAGGTTGTGGGGCTGACTCGGTGGCCACTGGGCAGGTTGGCTTCGGCCAGCAACCAGACAGGCTGAGGCAGACACACTTTTGGTGCCACGTCTATCCCTGAAACAGAGGGAGGGAGAGTCTGCAGGTTCTGGGAAGAGGGCCAGGCTGGTTGGCACCAGAGGCACTTTGAGGATTCATCTAGTTTTCCATGGGATTTTAAACTTTCTCAAAGCACCTGCCCTGAGACCTGCTCCTCTTGGAACATGGAATGAACCCGTGGCAGTTCGGGAGGGCAGGAAGCAATTCCAGGCCTGGGTGTTTGGTGAGGGATGGGTGCAGAGAGCAACTGCGTTGTCCCTTCCCGTTGCAGCCACATGGCCAACGCGGCATTGCTGGCGCTGGGGGCCGTGCCAGCTCTTGCCTCGCTCCTGCTCAATGTGGCCTCCCAAATCTCCCCAGGTGCTGCCGAGGGCCTGGAACTGGTAAGCCGGGCAGGGCTCCTGCCATCCTCAGCAGCGCTGTGGGGTCCAGCTTGAGGACGTGGCGTTTTCGCTCTCGCAGCTCGTGTGCCCGGTGCTGCGGTGCCTAAGCAACCTGCTCGCCGAGGAGAGCGCGGGCCGTGACGTGCGAATCCAGGATGAGCGCCTGCTTGTGGCCCTGTTTGTGATCCTGCAGTGCCTCTTCCAGGAGCACCCATTCCTCGTGCAGGAGAGTCTCTGGCTGCTGAACAACCTCACGGGTGAGTGTCCCTGCATGGCCATGAGCAGAGCTGGGGCTGCTGCTGCTGGGACCTGCTCTGATGGATGGGAGACACGGGGAGCCAGCAGAGCCAGCGCGGGGGGACTGCCACGAGGGGCCTCAAGTCCAGCATGTGGCAGTGCCTGCGGGATGAAAAAATTCTCCCTTCTGAGATGTGAGAGCACAAACACTCAGAAATCCGTCAGGCCTTTCCCCTTAGCCCTCGATCCAGGCCCCGGGAGAGGTTTTGAATGTGGTTGGATGTTGCAGGCAGGGATGGCCTGTGCCCTGGCGCTGCGTATTTGAGCGTGCCAGCCCCTTCTGTTGGCCACACACAGCTGGCACCAGCCGTCTCTGTCCCTTCTCTGCCACCTCCTGCCCCGAGGCCAGGGCTTCACTAACATGTTCGTCCCGTCCCTCTCCTAGCGGACGAGCCCTTCTTCTGCTCCGCTCTGCTCGCTCTGGACCTGCTGCCGGCCCTGCTGCAGCTCCTGCCACATTCCCAGACCGCGAGTGTCTTGGTGAGAACTCGTCCTGCACCTGGATGTGGGGAAAAAGCCCTCAGCTTCCAGGGACGTGAATCCTGCACATGCAGTGCTCGGGTTGGAGGCTGGCTTGGGACAGGGAGAACAGGGGATGGGATGGGATGGGATGGTTGTTTGCGACCCTCCAAAACCTGTCCTAAATGCCGTGTCCTTTTAACAGTCCTGCTGGTCACGGCTTTTTCCTCCAGGTCCTGACCGTGCTGTGCAATATCGCAGAGAAGGGCCCGGCCTATTGTCAGGAGCTGCACCGGCGCGCCGGGACGGCCCCGCTGCAGGGCGCGTGGCGCTCGCCGACACGGCCGCCCTGGGGCAGTGCCTGGAGCTGCTGCACCTGCTCTTCCTGCACTGCCCTCAGGTGAGACATGGAAACGAACCATCTAGTTTCAGCCCGTGCAGCCCTGGCCCCTGCACGCGGGGCACTGCCTGAGGAGGGACTGGGGCCAGCCCTGTGACAAAGACAGAAGTCCTTGTCCTGGCTCTGGGATCCTTTCTGGCTGATGGGGGTTTTGTGGGCAGTTTTTTTTTCTGCCCTTAAGGAGTCGCAGGTTATTATGGGGCTCTGCTTCGCTCGCTCCAGGCCTCTCTCTTCCCTCTCTTTTTTCCTCATTCTGTCAGGCTACATGGGAGGGGAAGGGCACGCGCCCTGTTGCTGGGCCCTTCCTGCCACCCTCCTGCCACCGGACAGGTGGATTCCTGGAGCGTGTCCAAAGGAGGGCAATGAGGCTGGGGAAGGGGCTGGAGCACAGAACTTGATGAGGGGCGGCTGCAGGAGCTGGGGCTGTTTAGTGTGGAGAAGGGGATGCTCAGAGGAGACCTTGTTGCTCTCTGCAACTACCTGAAAGGAGGGTGTAGTGAGGGCGAGGTTGATCTCTTTTCCAGAGTAACTATCAATAGGACAAGAGGAAATGGGCTCAGGTTGCACCAGGGGAGGTTCTGGTTGGATATTAGGAAAAATTCTCCCCAGAGGAGGTCAAGCATTGGGACAGGCTGCCCAGGGAAGTAGTAGAGTCCCCATCCCTAGCAGTGTTCAAGAACCATGTAAATGAGGCACTTGGGGACATGGTTTGGCAGGGTGGTGTTGAAGGGCTTACGGTTGGACTCGATGATTCCAAGAGTCCCACTTCCATGTGAGGCCTTGGCTCGCAGCCACCACTTACACCTCTCTCCTCACAGGCTGCTGTCGACTTCATCCATCACGGAGGGTGCCAGGCCCTGGAGCAGCACCAGGGCCACGCGGAGCTGGCGGAGCGAGCGCGGGCGCTGCTGCACGTGGCCTCGCGCACTGCCCAGCCCGCGCTGCCCTAGGCGCTACCCTGGCACCACGAGGAGGAGGCTGCCTCTTGCAGGGTGCTCTGCTTCGCCCTCCGCCCGCCTTGGCACGGGAGCAGGGCTCCCCTGTGACGGGCCATGGCAAGGCTTGCCTGCTCCCCACTCTCCCTCCCCAAGATCCCTACCACCACCCCGTCGGAACCAGCTCCAGCAGCTCCTCCCCGCCTCGCCATGCATGGCCAGCCCAGAGCTCTGCAGCAGCCGCTGCACAAAGACTCCCATTCCTGGGAACATGGCGCATAAACCCCGCTGGACTTGCCGGCTCCCTGCAGTGTCTCCTTTGGGCACTGCAGCTCTAAGCCCAACACACAACGCTCAGGGTCAGCATATGCCTTTATGTGATTAATAACTTAATGAGAGACATGTTTCACATTAAAGCTCATCAGAAAAGTTTTCAGCCCATACAGATGCATTTTATCTTCACGTCTTGTTTTTCATAACGTTCTCTAAGGCCTTGGCTACCTCATCCACGCTCAGGTTGTTCAGCGACACCCTCCTCTCCTTGCCAAACTCTGTAAGACAGAGAGAAGGTGAGAGCGGAACCAGGCACCCTGCTCCTGTCCAGGGGCCTGGCCTTGCCCAGGCGCCAGCTCTGGCTGCCGCTGCTCTCCTTTGTCACCCAGAGCCCTGCAGGGTCCCCGGCCATGCCCGGGTGATCGCTCCCGCCTCCCTTTCTGGTGGGACAGAGCCTCCCCGTGGGACAGCCTGTGCGGAGCCCATCTCGGCAGCTCCCGGGGCTCGAGGAGGTGGCAGTGCCGTCCCCCGCGGCTCCCGAACCCCCCGAGGCCCGGCTGCTCCCGCAGCAACTCCCGCCTTGCATGGGGACTCCCCGCGTGTCACAGCTGGGCCGAGGGGACGCGAGGGCTTCCCCGACCCTTCTGCTCGCGGGACGGCGCTCAGTAACCTCCGACGTTGTTCGGTAACCTCTGCCTAACGCAGAAGCCTTTGAGAGGAAATCAGGGGCTCCTCTTCGCGGGCTGCCCTACTCCTTCCCTTCTCTGAAGCAGGGACACAACAACGAG